TTTAACTTAAGCTCTTTTCATAAGCTTTCCGAATATTTAATAATATATAACGCGCGTGCGTCGTTTATTTCATTTTGCAACTGACTAAAAAATAAAAATAATTTCCAGGTTGCAAATTTGAAATTAAAAAAAAAATGTCAATGTATTATTATGATATCTACCATGATGACAAAAATCAGTGCGATTGTGGAAGATGCTCGGGATCGTTCAGACTAATAATTAGTTAATTTGTTTATATGGCCATAACTTGTAAACTATTCACCTTACCGATTCCAGATTTCATGTGAGTTATTAGACAGTGATAAGGAATAAGAGGATGCAAAACATTCTGGTAATAATAACGCAATTCATAAATGTTTATTTCAAAAGCCGTAAATAAACTTCTGTTTATAACTTTTGATCTAATTAATATTTTTTTACGGTCGAGTGCTAATTTTGTAGGTCTTTTGAAGACGAAAAAAAAGTACATTATTGTTTTCTTGTGGAAATTAACGGAAAAAAGTTATAAGCGAAAAACGTGAATTTAAGGAAAAATTATACAATTAACCAGCCTGTAAACAATCTTCCCCACATTTTTATGACTGTGGAAACTAATGTGTTATTATACATAATATTTAGCATCTATAGTGATAAATTCAGCTTGCCGAAACAAAAAGACGCAAAATGGTCATTTCCCAGCTCTTTTTTCTGTGTTTCAGCTCTGAATTGGATAAATATTGAGTACTAGACAAATTAAAATTAAAAGTGTGTTTGTAACAATCATGGTGCAATTTTAAAAATGAGTTATCTACATTTTTATTGCAATTGTTGAAAATATTTATTAATTCAGTTTTTTTCAAAATATTTGGAGGATATGAAATACGAAAGCGTGCTTGATAATTTAGTCTTTCTTAGTATAAATACATCTCTCTAATAGTCCTGTGTAGTTTTTATTGAAGCAATTGATAACTGAAATATTTTAATTGCAATTAGTTTTTGTCATAATTTGGCTTTGTTATCTAAAATAACTATTGATTTTTTTAGGCAGGTTTTTTCTATTAGTATTTCTAGTCGCTTAATTTTTTATATAATTAACATTCCCTTTTATTTAAATATTAAAGATTTGCCATTCCTAATAACTAGTTATTACAATTTCTGCTATTCTGAAAACTTTTTAAAAAGTAAGTTTCGTTATAAGCAAATAAAAATTGTATGCGGCACGAATTTAAAAGTAGCTGAAATATGTTTTGAAGTCATATATAAATTTTTGGCTATGATATAATTTTTTGCAGTTTTATTATTTTTTAATTCGAGGATACCATATCAGTATACAACAAAGAATGCAAATCTCTTTACTCAGAAGTTCTCGTTCAGTGTCCTTTCAACTGTTAACACAATGCCTTTTAATAGATACTGTGAAATATGAAAGCTAACAGTGACAATTATTTCTCTCAAAATTCAGTATTAATCAAGGTTTTTATACAGGCACACATACTGCTACATTCTATACCTAACTTTTTGAGAGTCGGCAATACCTATAATTATTTAATAATCATTTATTCTAATGCATACAATTTCACACATTTTTCTATTGGAAAATTATGTTGTGTGTAATTTTTTATAATTTTGCTTAACTAATTTATGTATATTTTTACTTATCGCTATACTGTATACTCTATATTATAACAATACATTGTAATGTGTTGCAATTGGTTTTGTGCTACAATGGGCATCTTTCATAATTTTATTATTTGCTACATAATAATGTTCAGCTGAGTTTTTGGAGAAGTATTCTTTATTAAATGTTTTTTTTATTCAACTTAAAATGAGTCATGCAGTTTCTAAATAATAGAAATGCTTTATTAACTAACCTAAATAAAAAAAATATGAAAGATGCCCACATTTTACTTTTAATTTATATGACAATCTAGTCAATATATTACTTCTAACCAGTATTAAGGAAAAATCAAAGACTGTTGGATAATTCCACCATAATTATTTATTGTATATTATAGACAAGTGCTGGTGTTCCAGGTACACCACAATTACACCATGAAATATATTGCTTTTTCTTCAGAATTTAAGTTGTGTATTAACGTACAATTTTACAAATCCAAATTTGCGATCATAAAAATTTATCAGCATTTTTGTATTACGAATACAATTTATTTTAATATTGAATGATATGTAGAAAGAAAGGTAGGCTTGTAATTTTAATTGAAATTACTGTTATAAAATATCTTATAAATGCGATGATTATTTTACAGCTGCTAACTCTAAACTCAGTAGTAAAGCGACAAGCCTACATTCTTTATATATGTCATTCAACAATTTAAATTGATTACTAAATATGTACGAGGCATATCCACAAAATAAGAGTACCTACTAAATTTTTTTGAAAATCGAAATTGGTATATTTATGAAAAATTTACATATTCAGAAAGTACATCACACTATTTTTGACGTAATTGTCTTCAACCTCAATCCACTTTGGGAGTCAAAGGACGAGCTTTCTGATACCTTCATTAAAAAATGTCCTGCCTCCTCTCGAGCTCATTGTTTTATGGCACTGTGAATCTCATTGTCGGTAGAAAACTTTTTTTCACCTGTAAATACCTTCAGAGATGAGAAAAAATGATTCAGAAGACGTCAGGTCAGGGCTGTGAATGGGGTGGTTGAAGATTTTCCAACTGCATGAATCCACAAGAAGTTGCTTTGTGGGGATATACAACAAGCACAATCCTTTCTTTAACGATCCCCTTCTTTTGTTCTGTATCGCCCTCCGTAATATTTTCAGGGTTTCACGGTACCGCGCAGCATTCATTGTTTCCCCCCGGGGCAAAATTTTAATGAGGAGAATCCCTTTACAGTTACAAAACACAGTTGCCATGATTTTTCGGGCCAAAACAATGGTTTTGAGTTTTTTCGCTGATGGTGAAGACGGTTGTTGCCACTGCACCGATTGTCTTTTCTTCTCAAGGGCGTAGTAGGCCACCCACGTTTCGTTGACAGTCACAATACAGTCAAGGAATTGTTCACCTTCCAGTTCGAAGCGCTCGATTAATTCCCATGAAGATGCAATTCTGTTGGCTTTTGTCAATCCGTGAACTGTTTTGGTACCCACCACAATTTTCGATAACTAGGTGTTTCAGTAATGATTTCATGTAGAAAAGATCTGGAGATTTGTGGAAACACTGCGTTTATCTCGTCCAAAGTCAAACGACAGTCACCATGATTTTGTTCACCATCTCATTAGTCACATTGAGGGATACCTACTCCTTTGTTTATCGTGAACATTTGTTCTGCCAGCTTTAAACTCACAACTCCACTTGTACACATTAGTACGATTCATCACATAATCCCCATAAACAGTTTCGATTTCGTTAAAAATCTGGAAGGACACCTTTCCCTTTGCAAGAAGAAACCAGATTATTCTCCTCACCTGGCAGGATGCGATATAGCAACACTCATTTCAATATGCCACTACAACAACAGTTCTCAACTGACTGAGACAAATGAGTGCACGTTCTATTGCCTTGAATGCAGTGTTGCCAACTTTGTCGAAAACAAAAACCACAGCATCATAGTCTATGTACTCTTACTTTGTGGATCATACATATGTGGTGTGGGTTCAATGAAGCAAATTAATTTGAAATTAATAATATTAAAAACTTATTTTGAAAGTTTAGTCTACTGACATTCCGAGAAATTCGTATTTCTAAGATTTTTGCAGCTAAATATTATTGCCTATTTGACGTTATTTATAATGCACCACATATACCGAGAAAGTTTTTATTCAAGATCGCATTAAGGTACAAATATTAATTATTCCCAAATATCTCTACTGGTTGTTGTTATTATTTATTTAGATATATTCTAAAATGTATTTTTAAGATGTACGAATTTAGTTTTAAGTTAATATTTTCTTCTGTGACATCTATTGGTTCTTGTTTTGTTAATTTTTATTTACTCTGTTACTTCCGATGATGGATTTTGTTTATTTTTTTGTACATCATTATTTATGCAGCTTCAATAAACCAAAAGGAAAAAATCGATACAAACTGTTTATTAACCTAACAACTAATATCTGTTATATTAATAAAACTTTGGTCAACTACATTTCATTGTAAACCACTTACATTTAGAGAAAATTTTCTTCTAGTTCCAGTTGTTGAGTTTCCTGTATTTCACGAGGTAGACGGTAGGTAAAATCTCTCGGCCTTGATTTTTCAGAAAAATTGATGGAAAACTTATTTCCATATCTTAATTCATTCAGGACATAGGTACAGGAAGTTTTTAATTTTTGGCTGTTTTACAATGTCGAAAAATTTTTATTATGTGCCACACATGATATTTTTATATAACTTCTAGCTTTTAATGGAATTAAAGTCGTTATTTATAGTTATGATGAATAATTATTTTTCTTTCTTAAATATGATCGTTGGTAAAATTTCGAATTAAGTTACTATTAGTTTAATTTTTCAGTTAATGGAATGGAAGATATGTGCAATGTGATTTTTGTAAAATCTGATATGTAGAACATGCAATCGGAATAAGAAAACATTATATTGTAAAATACAAAAACAGTTTTAAAATGTGCACGTTCCCCTGTAAATTACCAATTTTTAAGGGACTGTGTATGCGCTAGAAACAAAATTTAATGTACATTTTAAAAAATCAAATAGCTGTCATATTTTACCCAAAAAAAATGATAAAAGAACATACAAATGTAAAAATATTAAAAAAAAACTTGACATTACAAAAAATTACCAAAAATGGAAAACGCGTTCTCTGTATATTTTATATATTGAGATAAGGTTTTTGCCGTTATTTTTTTTTTAAATTGAGCCGAGATATACTTTTTGTCTATCTCTTTGGAAAGTTGAGAAACCCCAAAAAAGTTGATCTACCAACAGAATTGTGTCAAAATTTTAAAACAGTACAATTTGTAAATGAAAAATAAAATCAACATACAAAACTATTTTTGAATTTAAAATATTAATCGTTTGTTATTTTTGTAGAATCTTGTATGCTGTGCTGCTGACGTTTTGGAAGGGAAAGGTTTAGTTCAAGTTGCAATAACGGTAACGGAACTCTTAAGATTTCACATGCCGAGATCTCCGCTGCACTCGAATAGTGTTTCTACTGTGGTCTAAATTAAGTGTGATGTTAAATGTAAGTCATATTTGATTTTAGATATTCGTAATATATGTTTAGTGTAAATTTTGTATGATTTTAAGTAATATTGGAACAATATTTGTTTATTTTGCAGTAATTTATTTCTTTTCAATTGACAGACATATCAACCTACGAACAATATTGAATAAAAATATATGTTGTACAAATTTAAATGTAAATGGCTATTTCATAATTATTAAATTGTGTAATCTGAACTAGGAACTACGTTTAGTTTTATAATTTAAGTAGTTTTCATATACATATACTGATAATTTATATTCGACAATAACCAAACAGAATAATCAAACTTGTAATGTGTAATAAATCAGACATAAAATGCAGCGTTTGCCACATTCTAGTTTAGCACAGTACTTATTTCTGTACCTAAATTAAATGAATTAATTAATAAGAATTGTAACTAAAGTTAAATATAATTTTTTTAATGTTGGGTATATTATACCCAGTATTCAAATAAGAAAGAACATAGGTCATATCTTAGGAACGGTTTATCGTAGAATGTTTAGAAAAAAATGTATATTTTTAAAACACGGCATAAAAGGTGTGGCCAACTAAAAAAATATACTTTATGAATACTTTTCATTGATTAGGTAAAAAGGTGACACATGAATGCAGTTAAAATTATCGATATATTTTTTATATTTTTAGATCAAGGGATATAAGACAAATTTTGGAATATACAGGGTGTCAAAAAAATTAATGACCCAAAAGGAAAATATGGGGGACAACAAAATAACTGTTTGAAAAACCTTTTTGTCTCTTTTCAGCTATTTATTAAGTAAATTATAATTATTTTTTCATTTATTATCCCCTTATACAGGGTGGGCCATTAGTGTGAGAAAGTAAAATAACTCCTTTGTTACTCATAATACAGAAAAAAAGTTTATATAAAAGTTGTACAGAATCAAGAAACCTAAACTACAAAATTAATTTGAAATATAAAGGGTGATGAGTAAAAACGAGACACGCCAAATATTAAATTTTTTTAATGGAACTGTATATTTTTAAACATATGGATTTACGAGAAAATTCTATATATGGCAATATAAACAGTTTATCATTTTAGTGTGGGGTTGCCAAATTATGTACAAAATTCTTAGAATTTTGGAAAAAACATGATCTCGAAGAAGTTGTATTAACTCAGCTACTAAAACTTGGAACAAAATAAATTAAACAGAGTTATAGGCAAATGGTATGTCAAATATTTTTACTCCAAGTGTTAGTAGTTGAAAGTTAATACAACTTCATCGAGGTCATGTTTTTTCCAAAATGCGAAGAATTTTCTACATAACTTGGCAACCCCGCACTAAAATGTTAAACTGTTTATATTGCCATATATAGAATTGTCTCAGAAATCCATATGTTTAAAAATATACAGGGTGTTCCATTTAAAAAATGTAATATTTGGCGTGTCCCTTTTTTACTCATGTATGTTTCAAATTAATTTTGTCCTTTAGGTTTTTTGATTCTGTACAACTTTTATATAAACATTTTTTCTGTATTATGAATAACAAAGGAGTTATTTTACTTTCTCACACTAATGGCACACCCTGCACACTTTAATTTATTTATTATTTAATTTAGTATATGAAGTTAGTATATATTAATTAATTAACCTTGAATCTCTGAACCTGTATATTTCACGGTACTGAATATATCTTTGATTCTAAGACAAATTTTGAAATACGATTTTTTTATATTTTCTTGTCATGCTTTTGCGTAGGCAACAAAAACTATACAGGGTGTGCAGTAAAGAATGTGACACACTTTACGACTATGTTGGGTCAAAATAAACCAGTTTAAAAAAAAATTACTTCATTGCATTGTAAAAAAAAAATATTTTGATTGTGATCCCATTATAACATTTTTGTTATACTTTTTTCGATGTAATTTCTCAAATAAGATCAGGAGGAGGGAGAATGTTTGTAACTTCGGTATGATTTCGCCAAAATTAAGAATCTTGGTATCATTAGAAAGGAAATATTTCACTCAATCAGATTTTTATTACATATTTTAGGGAAGTTGAACATTAATTTGTAATTATTTTTTTACCTAAAACAGAAATCGCTATGAGGACCTTAAAATAATCGGTAGAGATTTTGATAAAATACAGATGTCTTTCTAGACTTTATTTTGAAAAAAGTATACTTGTATGTCTAAAATTTGCTACTCGAAAGAAAAATGGATTTCATTTTTTTCAACAGTCAACTACGAACCGCTGAGTAGTTGGGGGGTATTCTGGTCAAATTAAACTCCACCTTTTTTCTGAATTTGCAACAGAATTAAATATTTTTTATGATTTAGATCAACATACCTCAATAAAAAAGTCAACATGTTTTCTCAGTGCTCTGCGATATACCATTACTGAGAAAAGGACAATGTTCCTTTTTAGTTGGACACCCAAACATTATAAAATAGATCTCTTATAATTTATTGTAGACCAGTGTACAATTTGTGAATCAAATTTAATGGTAATAAGGTCTTAGATGCTTATAACAAATATTGTATAATATAAAATATCACTTTGAGAATTGTACCTCAACTCTTACTGGAATAAAGCATGCTCATGGATTTGAAAGTGAATCTAATTCAGTATATTAGTATGATGCTGTTATTCTTAAAAAGGTCTAGCTATAAATAAGCACCCAATTATAGCCAGTATCTAATGTTTATTATCATGTATACTGATAGCAGTTAAAATTATAAATACAGGCTTGAGACAGATTTTTATAAGCTGTTTTTTTAAGGATAAAAAACTTAAATGTGGCAATAGTATATTTAGTTTTGCACTGTTCTAAATGTTAGCTTAAATACGGATAATAATTATTCTAAACTAGTGCCAAAGATTTTCAAAAAAAAATTCCGTATTGTGTTCATGTCATCTGTATAAAAAGAAAGCTCGACATAACTCTCGAATTTGTTTAAAACTGTATATAATTAAGTCATATACTTTTTTATCATATAACTTATTGACTAGACTAAGAATATTACTTAAACAAGAAGATTGTAAAGTTCGATAAATTGTGCAAAGACTGGGTACTTACAAAATAAATTAAATGCCATCGAATTTTTCATTTTCGATTGTATTTTGTGTGATAAAATAGTTTTGTTTGTGATAAAGTGTCTTTTAATCATTCATTTTGTTGGTACAAACCGCATAATTTATGAACTAATTTAAATATATCTAGTCAATTAAATAAAGATCTTTTTTACTTGGTAATATTTTCTTTTTCATTTTTTTCCCATTTTAGTGACTATACAGTTCACATATGTAGCAAATAGAGAGCAATTCTAGAAATAACTTAGTTATTCAGGACACAAAAAAATTCTGAAGGAATTTTCATTGCAGTATTTTAAAATAAAAATAAATCGTTCCACTAATTTTTATGGAGAAAAAAATTAAATATCTCCAAAATTAGCGAAAATATACTTAATGTAAAGAAAATAAGAATTTATTGAAAATAAGACATAAGTAAATATTTTATGTGAAAAATTAACGAAAATGAAATGAAATTTGCAGTTGTCATGTATACAGAAAACAAGCTGCATAAGCGTTTAAGAGTTATACAGAACTGAAGATATACGTTTGTATTTTCTAAAGTAACAAAACCTAACATTTTGGATTTTTTGTAAAGAATGATAATCTAATATTCCAATTTCACAAAAATAACCTTGGCTGATCTTTTAGCGCAAGGGTTTTTCATTAAGATTTAAAATTTTTTCACAGGTTAATTATCCAATAAATAGGGAAGAAAACGAAAACTATATCACAAAGAAACGACATCTGAATATCTGAACAGTATGAATAAAAAGGAGGTAACCCCTTCACTACAGGAAAAGGAAGCCTTTACTTCGCTTTGTATGAATAATAATCAAGACAAAAGCTTATACCACATGTAAAAAATAATACTTCCAGAAAGTAAATGTTCCATTTCATATGAATAAAAACAAGCATTTACTTCTCACATGAAGTAAATGCTTCAACATTTTGGAGGTACTTTTTGAATTTAGTCTTGTGCAAACATTCAAAGTGTTTGTATTTTTAGGTCATTTATACACGAAGTTTTAGAATTAATCAACCAAACTTAAAATTTAAGTTTGGATGGTGAAAATAACAATACAGACTATTACAAATTCGCTTCTCACTGCAGGGATCTTGGAAACGATAGGAGATGTGAAGTAGCTTAAATGGGGGCAAAGTTGCATAATTAGGGTACCAGCATTACACCTCTAAAAAATCAAGGCTAACGTGATTAGTTTTCGAAAAATTTGAAAAAAAAAACAAAATTTTAGAAATCTGTTTTTGTTTAATTCCAGGCTTGTTTGAGGTGATATTGAAAAAAGAACACTTTCCCAAAGGAATTTCTTGCTCTCTATCGAATGGCATAATCAATTTTTATATGTAACGTTTCGTCTCTCCAGGATCATCGTCAACTTCATTTTTTAAATACGATCCTGGAAATTTTATTACATACAAGCCTTCTTGACCTCCAATACTGTACTGCCTCAGCCCGAACCAGATTCAAAAGTTTTGTCTCGAAAAATTCATCTTCAATGTATTTGTTCCAAATTTATCTATTTTTTTTTAGATTTCTATGTTTATAGAATTATCGTACACTCTAAGTGTCATTAAGCTTTATGAAATCCACCTATTTATTTAAACTATTACCATTACCCGTTACAATAAAACATTATTAGAGTTTTAATCTCCATCACCTGGTCATAATTCGATAATAGGGTTGTTGACCAAATTTCAAAAAGTAGATAATATAATTCTACACGTACTAATTAGTGTGTATGCACAATTAGAGATTGAGAAATGCGTCGGAACAGTTTTAAAATAATTATTTAAAACTGATTTTTTTATAATATTTCAAAACGGCTGTGACGTCATAAGGGGCACCTTGTAGTGAAATTATGTGTAGATGATTGCGTAAAGGAAAAAAATTGGAGGAAGAAGATGCTCTGTCAACACTGTCAGTAGTGTCAGTCTGTCAGTGACATTGTCGCATAAAATATTTTCAAGTCTACGAGTTATTTTCCTTAATCTTCGAATTCCTTTATTAAGTAAAATTATTATTTAGTAATAATCATTTAATATCTTCCTTCCCTTAGAATTAAAGCAGAATGTGTGAAACGGGATTTGTGAAAGCTACTTCGCAAATTTTACCGAAAATTGATATTTTTATGATCATGAATTGAATTTTTAAAAAGAGACGACCGTTTTAATATTGGCGAAATCAGAGGTATAAAAGCAGTCAGGTAAGGATTAACATATTTAATGAATGATTTTATTGTGTTTATTTATAATATAAATAATAAATATAAATACCTATTTATTTACGGAAAATTATAGTGCAGTTCGGGAGTCTTATGGAGATAATGCAATTGGCTATGTGGAATGTGGAACAAAACACCACTTAAATTTTGTTGAATCCATTACAATCAGGAAATTAATAATAACTATCACAAATACTCTTAATTGATAGACTGCTGTCACTAGTGTCACTACTGTCACTTTTGTTTAAAGAACAGGAAACAGGGCAACAGGGTTTGATGGACAATTTTGATATATTTTCTTCTTCTTCAAAATTATGCAATAGGATCGCTACTAGCTTCTTGTTCAATTGCCCCTTATGACGTCAGTCTAGTTTTTAAGTAACACAAAAATTCATAAATGATTTCTACCACTAATTTGTCATATATTTAAAATTTAACTATACAGGCAGGTTCTTTTATATAAAATCTTTGTATCAACAACAATTTGTATATGGTTTGTTTTTATAGTCAACAACCCTATTTGTTGAGTCAAAATTAAAACATTATTACCATTTTAATTTCATTATGACAAATTAATTCTTAAAAAGGCATATGAACAACCAAAACTCGAAATGAGTATTAATTACAGTGTGTTCAAAAACTTGTTCGTTTTGACTAATGTTGAAATTGAAGATAAGCAAAATATGATCGGAATTTATTGTACCTGTAACCGCAACTGTGAAAGAGCATGTCAGATGTATTTGTATGAATATCCTGAAAAAAATTAAATCGAAATTTGTTTAAATTTTGTGCACTCGAGAAGCCTAGAAATAACTATAGGCACGGGATTAAAACTCTAATAATGATTTATTGTAACTGGTGGTGGTAATAGTTTAAATAACTAGGTAGATTTCACAGGGTACAACGACACTTAGAGTGGCATATAATTCCATAAATAAAGAAATCTAAAAAAAATGTTTAATAAATTTGGAATGAATACATTGAAGATGAATTTTTCGAGACAAAACGTCTGAATCTAGTTCGGGCTGAGGCAGTACAGTACTGGAGGTCATGAAGGTTTGCAAAAATGTGATAAAATTTCCAGGGTCGTATTTAAAAAAATGGAATCTGTGACACTGCTACGCAAACCGAAACGTACAGACCTGAAAATAATGCCATTTTTCTCAAGAGGGAATATATTTTTTAAATAAAACGACCTTTTCAATGTTGTTGCCCGTTTTAAAAAAATATGATCACTGTAAAAGTTTTGACCGCTAAAAGGGAGAGGTGACCGCAGAAAATTATCACCCAGTATATCGATTTGATTAAATCTTTAAGAAATAATACGCCATAATAGTTCAAATAAATGTGCCAAATTTTATCGCGATCGGTAAAAGGGTTATGAAGTTATTAATTAAATTAGCTTTATTTTTGACAATTTTGAAGGCCTGTAACTCAAAAACCATAAGTGTTTTATATAACTTTTTTTTGTAGATCGTATTTATTTATTTTCGTGAATATGTAGTCAAACGTCGATGAAATTTGCGGACACCCTGTATACAGGGTGTTTCAGTTCAAGTGAATTAAACTTTAACCACAAATAGAACTCAATAATTCAGAATTATAAAAAGCAAGGGTCTAAGTCCCGCTATTTTCACTTTACAGGACCGTATCGGTCGGTTGTTAATATCATATTATTATAACAAATTGATTCAAATTTGGTGTGCTGTTAACACTTACACATGTGCATAATTTACAGTAAAATTTACAAATTTTTGTAGATCAGTGGCATAGGAATGGGTAATAAAGCGGGATTTTTTACCCCAACTTCTATGCCAATGACCTAATAATCATTTGGGATTCATTTTTAGATTCCTTGTACAATTCTACATAAAAAAGGTATATGTACTTGTTGAAAGTCGGTATAGTGTTACCGAAAATCGCAGTTAAATGGGAGACTGTTCTTCTGATAAGAGGTTAGGAAATAAATTTTAAATTAATATTATTATAATGTCATGTATTACCTTAGATTTCAAAACAATATTAGTGTCTCTACATCGGCAAAACAACTAGTAAATTTTAAATATAATTCCTTGTGTATTATTTATTGCATTCGTAATGTGCTGAATTCCTTCTCCGAGCTCATTTTTTTGTTGCGCTGTAGTGCAACCTCTTCTAAAATTTCATTTGTGTCAATTCTGCAGCAATTATAGGTATCCTTGCTCATTCAACAGTCCCTTTGTTTCAAACAGATATAATTCCTTTAAAAAATTACACCTACATATTAATTTTAAATCTCTGCTGTGTGTCCATTACAGTATCCGTACACAATGATTGCCATGAATAAACAACTAAGCAATAATAGACTTATTTGTCATCAGGAACTGTTGAAATATTAGTTAGTGTTTGTAAAAAAAATTGATGAGTATTCAAGATTTTCTTATCATTCAACTGAAATTTTCAGTAAAAGGATACCCTAACCCTATACCGATTTTCAACAAGTATACCTTTTTTATGTAAAATTGTCCACGGAATCTAAAAATGAACCCCGAATGATTATTAGGTCATTGCCATAAGTTGGGAATTTTCTTAGCCATCTCCAAACCAACACTAACAAAATAATCATTAAAAATTTGAGCTTTCATTGGATTTTCAATGATAGCTTCACCACGTAAATTTTTAATTGGTATATCCTTGACCGTTTTTTTATTATTTCCACCATTTGATACCTCATTAACAACATCCCAAGTCTTTTTACAGTTACCTTTAACAGAAAAAAGTTTGTCTTTGTAATAATTATTTTTTGTATTTTTTATAAGTTTATTTAATTTATTTCTATATTCCTTATATTCTCTTTCAGCTTGTTCTGTTTTCCTAATAAATAATTTCTTTTTGAGCGTATCTCTTCGTTTAATAGAAGTTACCAAACCTGCAGTTATTCAGGGTTTTATTTTAAAATTTTTATTTGAAAATAAAGTATAACTATTTGTTGCTGAGTTTATATATCTTTTTAAAGTAACAATAAATGTATTATATGAAATTTATGCATCGTTGCAGTTTATTACTTCTTCCCAGTTTTCATGACTTATTGTAGACATTAATTTATTAAAATCGATACTATATCTAACTTTAGGTTCCTGTTTTCGTCGCACTTCACAGAAATGTTTTATTGATAAAAAGGTGGGATCATGGTCTGTTAAATATGCTTGTACAATCATTGGAGTTATCAGAATTTTATGAAAGTTATGGTATTTTCTAATGAATATATGATCAATAGCACTCTTTGTCTGTTGGGTTACTCTTGTTGGCTTATTGATATATGAAATAAAACCATGTTCTGCTAACAAGTTTAAATAATTATTTACATTATCAGAAAATGTATCTAAAATGTTTATATTAATATCACCTACAAATATTTCAATTTTCTGTTTATTTAAGTTTTAAAAATAACTTTGTAAATCTTCCTCATATATTTGCATATTTGTAGCAGGTGGCAGATATGATGTTGTTAAACCCATTTCTTTATTATCACTTCCAACAAATTGTAATCTTATTAATTTAGTTTCTCTTAAGGAAACAATATTGATATTTTTGATAACTAAAGTATTTTTTACATAAACGAATAGACCGTCATTTTGATTAAATTTTGAGTCACTATAAAATAGTGTAAAATTAGGTACGTTAAAGTTGCTCATCTTTTCTATGTTCCATGTTTCCGATAAAACAATGATATCTATATTATTTATTTTTTTATCTAAATAAACCATTAACTTATCGAAATTTTTATTTATTATTATTATTTATTTTATTATTTTGTCTATTACACAAATCTAAATACAAAATGAACTGTTTGGATTTTATTAGATATTTATAAGAATGTACAATTATGATCAACTAAGTAACTAGATAAATTATAAACGCATGAAAACTTCCATTATCTCAAAAGCTTGGGAGAGCGCTTCTGCCTTTGCGTTCTCTTTTGACATAGACATTCCTATAGTTGTAAATGGTGTATCAGTATTCAGGGACAGTGTTACTATGGGAGGATTATCTTGAATTTCATAAATGTTGTAATTCAGTCCTAACTGATCCAAAATTTTCTTCAGGGATTCTTCTGTTCTTTCAGAAAACTCCTGAAAAGTATTTTTAATGAATTTATAATGACAGAGAAGGAAACTTTTTATAAAATATCTTGATGAATAATTATATGTATATTTAGGTATTGGTATGAATGGCAGGCCACCAGGCAAATGGCCGGAGTACCAATTATATGGGTAAATGGTGACCAAATGAAAATACTACAGACTAGAGGTCGAGAACTATCGATAATTATGTATAGTCGACAGTATCAAATTATGTATATCAATAGTGTATTTAGAACAATAGTTTTCAACTGTGCGTTTCGTAAATCAAGTTGTAATAAATTATAAATATATGTATAAATAATATAATAAGAAACAAGTAACCTATAAGATATGAAACAAACTAAGCAACACATCTAGATCGCACTATCTGTCAAATATCAAATATCTATCTGCTATTTAAACATTAGGCAATTTATTAAGATTCACAGACTTTCGTCAATGTAATTAATGTAAATGAGAAGTCCATTTGTCACCCTTTGAAACTTAAAAAACTTGACTAGATGGTTTAAACTAGACATATGATTTGAGTAACAGTTTGTGGAATTTTTAGAACTATGAATGATGATGATGATGATGATGATGATAATGATAATAATAATAATAATATTTGTACCCCTCATTCTAATCACAAGGATTAGTCCAGAAGTGGGAGAGGGGGTGGCATATTATTCAGTAGGCCGCATGGGTGCCCAGCAGTGGCGGCTCGTGGGTTTGTATACAGGGGGGGCGCATTCTGAAAAGAGGATGTACATCATAAGAGTTGCGGGGGGTGTGGGTGGCGGTAGCCCTCCGTTTAGCGCCGCAGGCGAAAAATTTTAAGGAATTTGAAGGTCATTGTGTTTTGCAAGTACCCCACAATGAATACTGTCAGTGTGTACAGTAGCTACTTACAATTAGATACAATGCGAGAAATAAAATTCCAACGTGTGGGGGCTGAAGCGGATAATCGATCAACCAACCCAGTTAGGATATAATTATGTAGATTACTGTAATAGTTCATTCTGTATAGTTTTTGAAGTTCCTTTAAAAACATGGGCATCACTAAGATGTTTATCTAAAAGGGGACCCATTTTTGCACTATAGTCTATCAGTTCTAAAAATACCCCTTTGTTTACCGAGTCACTTTTTTTATTATGTCGACGAAGAGAAAGGTTACATGTACCACATAGTTTAGATATTTAAAATTTTTGAAAGAAGCAATCGATTTTTCTTAGGGCCCCATATTCTTTAAATAGTGTTTTCGGCAAAGACAAATAATTTCAAACATTTAATAACTGAATAATCTAAAGCTTATCAAATAATAGGAATGTTATGTCATGCCACCTGAGTATTTTCAAAGACGCCGCAGTAAAACGAATAAACAGGTGCAAAAAACGATCAAACCATCAAGGTTTTAGGTACTGAAATCTACGAAAATACTAACTTTTTTATATATAACTCCACATGTAAATATTCTTATAACATTTACTTGCTTAGTCCTACATATAAAATTGTTTACTTTTATTTATAAATACGTGAAAATGATTCTTAAAATGTGGGGTTAGAATAACAGCAAATGCATGTTTTACAAACGTTTTTTTTTACTTATTATTTTATTTGAGTAAATTTAAATGGTAACAATGAATAAACAAAACATTAAGGATTTTATTTTTGTGCTTTTGTTCTACACACTTTACATTTAAAGATTTCAGTACCTAAAAACGCCAGAAATTTCACTATTTCTCGGCCAGGAATATGGCCACCTTAACTGTTTCGTTATGACTATTTACTATTTATTTGTTCTGCATAAGCACTATTTAAACAAGAAGCAATATTTACTCTTCCTAAAAGTAAAAAACTCACCAACTTATTTTTGTGTTTAGGAGAATTTTCATGTTTCTTAATTTTAATTTCTAAATGTTTCAAGTCAGAATCTCCAGTTTTCGTCCAGTTTTCTTCGCCTCCTCCAAACAATAAACATACAAAACAAAAAAATGTATTTGTTTGGTCACAACCACACAACCACAGGGTCTTATCATAAATGTTTTTATCAAATTTGCGAATAAAAGCCGGCCTACTTTTGAACTCTTTCTGTACCTGAACTAAATTCAACACTGGCGTTGGACGTCCGTTATTTTTCAATTCGACTTTTTCCTCTAAACTTAAATTACTAATAACAAGTTTTTTTATTTCACAAACCCTCATTTTAAACTTAAACATATAAAATATAATATCTTAACAAGCGCCAAAGCAAAAACAAAACACGTATAACAACACTGCAGTAATACGGGATACTGCCACATGGAGTCCCAAAACAAAGTGCACGAGCCTATCGTCGCCTACCCCTCCACGTGCCAATTTGTCCAATCATATGTAAAAATATGCTTGCACGGTGGACTACGATTTCACCGTCCGCGATGGACTGGGGATTGCGCGCGCGGTTAAATATAAGTCTTTGGTACGATCATAGATGGCAGATGGCATTAATCTGAGCTATGTTCACGGAGTACATGCACTTTATGCAGCCAACCTAACATCCAAGACATATAGAATGCATGCTATTTAGATTTCTTATTGATTTAAATAAATACATTATTTTAAGTTTATAGTTTGAAAATATCTGGGAGGGGTGGAGTCCCAGAGTCCTCCTTCACGAGCCGTCACTGGTGCCCAGGAACGACTTATGTTGGTAAGTTCTGACCACCATTCAGTGCAGGAATGAGAGAAACCTGGAAAACCTCATTAATTAGGGGGATAGTTAAATGACAACCAGTATCAATCTCTCAGATTCACCCAAGCCAGCGTTCTTCTACCTTACCATACCCGCAGAGCGCGTGCTTAATTTATCTCTACGAATATAGCTGATCTACGGTTTTACGGCAGCGCAGATTGAACCTGCGACACTGGCATTCATCGAATCAAATACTGACACCTCGAACCGCTCGGCCACTGACCGACACTTTATTGATATTGTTTCTGTATAAGTTCTAGCTTGTCTTTAATATCCTTAGAAATATAGGGTAGGTAGTATTTTCACAATTTTTCATCAAATAAAATAGATATTAATCTCACACATTTTCCTAAATAAACCTTTTCTTCATAATATCGAAAAATCTCGATAATTATCGATAGTTCTTAACAACCTATTACAGACTATGCAGTAACATGCAAAAATAAAAATGTTACATCAATTAAATGAAACAATAATTAAAAATACTAAAAATTTAGTACACTCCAATTTTTTTGTAATAAATCATAATTGTCTATCACCTGACTCAAAAATTGTTCCAGTACTAAAAATTGGATTATTTATTTAATATATGTGTAGCAGCTCGTTATTTCTATATTTTAAATTATATTCTGTTTATTAATTTTAGTAAAGATTTAATTCTTATAATACTACTATTTTAAACAAAAAATTTTTTACATTACAAATAACCATTTATGACAGGTGAGTGAAGCTACTGCCGGTTCAGTATGGGTGAATGTGACCCTAACTATTGAAGAATAATGATTATCGGGCTATTATATGAATTATCTGTTCATTTAACTTTTAAGGTTTGATAAAGTAATACAATGAACATCAATTATCCACATACCTCTGAAAAGTTGTTGAATATCAATTCATTATCTGCCATTAATTTTTTTAATGTCCCAGAATAGTCGCCAATTTCTACAGTTTTATCAGGTACAATGGAACCAAAAAATTCATTATACTTATTTAAAACTTTCATATCTACATCAACATTAGTTATGGCTTTTTGACCTTCACTCTTACTGTACTGTTCAGCAATATCAGGTATAACATGTCTTATCCTATAATATAAAGATAATTTTTTTTATTTAATTGGATATTTTACTGCACTGAAAGTAAAATGAAATTAAATTGTATAAAAATATTTGTTGATTGAAACTACTTTTGCCAATCCTTGACTAATCCTTTTGATACAAGAGTTTATTTATTTAATTTTTTCTATGACTTAACTTCTTTTTCTTTTCAGTGTCGTAAAATACACAATTAAATAAAAAAGTATTAAACATGCCATAAATGTACGATTACTGAGGCACGACATTTCAGTTTGAAAGCAGGGGCGTCTGCGCGTGGATTACCTAATGCGTTTATAATAAATAATTTTATAATATTGTGTGAATAGCAGCAGATTCTTTAGCATCGAATTGTAAAATTACGGATTTTATTTTTTGAAAATGTTTAACCATGTCTGCCATCGTGTAAGAATGGTTGTGGAGGTTCTGGGATGCCAGAACACTGTTGGTGAATTTGACGATACGTTTTAGGGATTTGAGAAATACTATCTTGGTCTGTGCTATTAATTCATCTACATTTGGGTAAAACCGACGAATTGTTTCTACTACAAGATGTATTGCGTGCAGAAACACTTGTTTGTTAGTACTTAATTTTGACATACTTATGTATTTACTTCTTAAGACACAGAAAAAATTTCGTCGCTAAAGAAAGAACAAAAAACATATATCTGATAATCTGTGAAGTAACCGGATACTATCTACCTACTGCTGTCGTTAGAATGCCGATTATTGCTGATTCCGGTTTTATTTGTTATTCATAGCAGCACGGCGGCATGGTGTTCCCTCACCCACCCTGCCGTACGTTAGTGAAAACGAACTAAAAATGTCGTGCCTTAATGATTACAAACAATATACATTTGATGTTTACATAATAATGTCATCAAATAAAATATGTGAACTGATACAGTTCATAAAAAATTTATTTTTAAGAAAAAAGGGAGGAGTAAAACCCCGGCCAAAATTTGTACACCATTTTTAGAATAAGGGATCTATCTACGATCAACATCCTTGGACATCCAGAGACATCCAAAGACATAGATGAACTTACACACCATGGATTAACCCAGTCTTTCTCCATGGGAAAAAAATTATTAACTACTACCTCTAAGTGACCTTGTAGGCTTAAGCGAACCCGATATTCGTATTCAGTGACCGCAAAAACCTATGTACCTACTGTTTCACATTTTTCTAATGTTTTTTTTACAATTTGACCTTGAGATGACCTTGAATCTGACATGATGGAGGTTAGCTGACCTTGGATTTGTAATCAGCGCCCCCAAATACCCTTATTTACCATAATCAGGTATGGCGATACAGCTTGTGCGAAATAACAAATCTTTCATATATCCAAACTCTCGTCGACTGCCAGACCATCTAGGAGGTTTTTTTGGGTGATGTGCACGTGAGAACTTTTTATCAGAAGGTCAAATACTATCGAAAAAAATTGGTTGCAACCAATTCGAGGGGAACCAAAATCAAATATATTGAGTGCATGGTTCAAAAATATGATTTTTATATTTTCAGAATGTACAAATAAAGTTCTATAAATTTTTTGTTAAAATTGTTGATTTTTATTATACCTACCTATAGATTGATGGTCTTAAATATCAATAAATTGAGCAATTTATTATGTGCTACAAATTCAAGACAAAAAAAGTACAATAAACTGTTAAACAGATATTCTTTGTGCCAAAACAATGTTCATGAAATTTTTCATTTAAGCATGTCTTTTTCAAGATACAGAGAGTTGCAAATACAATTTAAAAAAGTTTTTATCCATAATTTTTTAAGATATTCTGCTGAAATTTTACATGCCAATATAATTTTTGTTATTAATAAACTATTTTTGTAAAGCATAATTCTGACACTCTGTTCATAAAATATTTGTGCCCAAATGAAAAATGGCATAAAAAAACTCAATAATTTCACTCAAAGAATTTGTGCTTGACTTGCTTTTTTGTAACACCTTGAACTATTTCTTTTTTATTTTTTTGGCCATTTTTTGACAGTTGACTTTAAAGGGTGATTTGTAATTTTTTCGCCTGACATTTTGCTATGTAAGTACCTATAATCAGTTTTGTCAATAATTGTTATTGTTTGTGTAGTTCATAGATAATAATAAGTAAGATACATTTACAAGAATAGCACGGGAAAACATTTATAAATGACTAGTCATTTTGATTAGTTTTGGGAATGAAAACAAGAGTTTTTAGAACTTAATAAGTTATTATGTATTTTAGTGCAATTGTAAAGAATTTCTGATTTCTCAGCATGTAACATCATGGTTAGCCAAAACAAAATTGTAAAATCACAGCTAAGGGGTTATTCATTTAAAACTTCTTATAGCTGTTTTACATTGACAATTTATTCATCAATAAATTGACGAAGTTCTTCATCAATTAATTCATGAATTTATTGGTCAACGGTGTGGTTTTACACTGCTACAGACTTTGTCAAGTTTTTTGACGTATGAATCAGTTCTACCAATGAATCAAAGAAGCAAATATATTTCAAAAATGTCACTTTTCCACTCATAATTGTTGTTTAGAGCGCATGAAAATATATAACAATATCCGCGGTTGTCATAAACAAAAAAAAAAGTTGAGTTGTTGAAATTGAACAAAAACCCACACGTCAAGAAAAGTCATCGAAAAGTGCCCCCCCCCGCTGTTTCTGCTACTTTAAAGAGCCCGCTCACGCTATTGTTCTGTTCTCACTGCCCCGCTGTATCTGCTTCATTGGAAGACCCGCTAGATTGGTAAAGGAGGAACTTTTGAGGGTGAGTTCATTTTCAGCATAACCGCATAACCGCTTCCATCTATACCGCACATTTGTTGGTCCTTCGAGCCGGATTAATAATTTCAATATTGTATTTTCATTCACTGACATTCTGCCTATTTTCTTGGTTAAATATTTATTTATTTAATAATTAAATATATTCGCATATAAATTTGTATCACTTAAAAGACTTTTTGAGGTCGTATTTCTAACGCTAATCATACGATACATTGGCATTACTTTGCTGTTATCTGAAAATTTTATAGGTATTTTATTTTTCTTTTTTGACATATCAGGATATAAATTTGACATTAGTAAATATGGCTAGTACAGCTAATAAAATAAAGCAGTCTAAAGCTCTTCGACAAATGTCGATTAATCAAGTAAATGAATTGAAAGAATTTGCTGATAGAGCCGCGGCGGAGGATGCATCACGAGTGCAATTTCAAATGTTGTTTACTCAAATTGGAGCGATTTCATCTGATTTCAAAATTCATCATCAAAATTTATTATCACTCATGGCATTACAAGATCAAGATATTGATTTAGAGGAAGAAATCAGAAAACAGTTTGAATTTGATTATTCCTATATTTGCGCAATTAATTATTCGCTCGTTGAAAACCAACAAGTAAAGACTGCACCGGAGGAGGCAGTTAGTTATAGTAAAACTAATGTAAAGTTACCGAAGGTCGAAATCCCAAAATTTTCCGGTGACGTTACTACATTTAGAGCGTTTATAGGAATGTTTAATTCAATTGTACATCACAATAAATCGATTTCTAAAATAGAAAAGTTTAATTATTTGATCTCCTGTTTAACTGGTCCTCCTTTAGCTCTCGTACAACGCATAAAATTATCAGCAGAAAATTATGACACTGCTTACGATTCATTACTTAAACGCTATAATAAAAAGAGAATTATTGCCTTTGCTCACTTGCAAGCCATGGACGATGCTCCATTTGTTTCAAACTCTAAACATTATTCTGACTTAACAAATTTGTTAGACACCTTTACTGAAAATCTAGCTGCTCTAAAAAATNTTATGATCAAAAACATCCCGCTATTTTACCACGTAATAGTCGATTGACAGATTTAATCATAGAAGATTTCCATATAACTTACTTACATCCAGGTGTACAGACATTACAGTTTTTATTATTACAACATTTTTGGATCTTATCTCAAAAACGCGCTATTCGAAAAATAGTTACAAATTGTCAAAAATGTTGGAGATTAGCACCAAAAACCTTTCAACCACCGATGGGAAATTTACCAGAGCTGCGCATTAGTAAGGTTAAACCATTTTCTTGCGTTGGATTAGATTATGCAGGACCTTTTTTAACTACGTTAGGTAAAGTTCGTGGAGCTAAAAGTTTCAATTCATATACATGTGTGTTTGTCTGTTTCGCTACAAAAGCCTTACACTTAGAACTTGCATCCGATCTAAGTAGTGAAGCCTTTATTGCAGCTTTTCGTCGATTTATTTCTCGTAGAGGTCGGTGTTCTAAGATTTACAGTGATTGCGGAACAAATTTTGTAAGTGGAAACAAACAAATTCAAAATTTAATAAAAATTGCTGCAGAGAGCGAAGCTCTTGATTAGCATTTTAATCCGCCTTCTGCGCCTCACTTCGCCGGCTTAGTAGAAGCAGGTGTCAAATCAGTGAAGACACATCTCTAGCGAGTAATTGGACAACAGATTCTAACTTACCAAGAGCTTTAAACTGTACTTGTCCAAATAGAAGCTTTATTAAATTCCCGCCCTCTTTGTGCGGTAAGTTCTGACCCTAAAGACTTATCAGTTCTAACTCCAGGACATTTTTTGATGCTTGAACCACTAACAGTTCTTCCTGATCCTGATCTGTCACATCTAAAATTGAATTCTTTAAATCGATGGCAACTTTTGCAACGCCTCCACCAAGATTTCTGGTCCAGGTGGCATAAAGAATATTTACAAACGCTGCAACAGCATCAGAGATGGTTGAAACCAATGTCTTCTCCCGTCGTGCCAGGCACTTTGGTACTGATAAAAAATGACTCATCTCCACCGAAATGGCAGATAGGACGAATCGAGTCATTACATACGGGTTCAGACGGTATTGCACGAGTTGCTACTGTTTTTACAAAACAGGGAACTCTAAAACGACCACTGGTAAAGCTCTGTCCTTTACCAACCTCTTAAAGTCTGTTTTATAGATATAAGTTTCTATTTTTAATTTTTGCTTAGATTTAGAGTTATTTAGTTTATGAAAAATATGTATATTTTTCGGTGGGCAGAATGTTTAGAGCGCATGAAAATATATAACAATATCCGCGGTTGTCATAAACAGAAACAAAAACTTGAATGGTTGAAATTGAACAAAAACCCACACGTCAAGAAAAGTTATCGAAAAGTGTCCCCCCGCTGTTTCTGCTCCTTGAAAGAGCCTGCTCCCACCATTGTTCTGTGCTCGCTGCCCCGCTGTATCTGCTTCATTGGAAGACCCGCTAGATTGGTGAAGGAGGAACTTTTGAGGGTGAGTTCAATTTCAGCATAACCGCATAACCGCTTCCATCTATACCGCACATTTGTTGGACCTCCGAGTCGGATTAATAATTTCAATATTGTATTTTCATTCGCTGACATTCTGCCTATTTTCTTGGTTAAATATTTATTTATTTAATAATTAAATATATTCGCATATAAATTTATATCACTTAAAGACTTTTTGAGGTCGTATTTCTAACGCTAATCATACGATACATTGGCATTACTTTGCTGTTCTCTGAAAATTTTATAGGTATTTTATATTTCTTTTTTGACATATCAGGATATAAATTTGACATTAGTAAATATGGCTAGTACAGCTAATAAAATAAAGCAGTCTAAAGCTCTTCGACAAATGTCGATTAATCAAGTAAATGAATTGAAAGAATTTGCTGATAGAGCCGCGGCGGAGGATGCATCGCGAGTGCAATTTCAAATGTTGTTTAC